TTCAGAGTATGAGACTACTTTTTATAGGTGATTTGTGAAAATTATTGCCTCATCTTATACATAAAGAGTAAGGTGGTAAGTCTTTTCTAACTAGGAAAGGGCTTTGTGAACTGCTCGGACCGGGGTGAAGTGGACATTGCTACTTTGCTACACTCATGTTGCAAAGAATACAGAATTTGTTCACCATTTGGATTGAGAGACATTTGGATTGTGAACAGCCTGACTATGCAACTTCTTTTCATTCTCTTTTCTTTTCATCTGTCTGTAGCACAATAAAGGAAATTAAAGTCAGTGATTGATTGTATGTGAGTGCATTATCATCAAGACTGAATACATAAACAATGTACTAAACGAGAAGCTACCTAATCGAGAGCCGGGGTCCGCGGCGCGGGAGGGCGGGAAGGCGGCGGCGGCCGCCGGGCAGCCGCGGCCGGAGATGCAGTGCCCGGCGGAGCAGTGAGTCGCGGGGAGCGGGCTGGGGGCGGCGGCGGGCTCGGGTCCCCTCCGGAGGGCTGGACTGGCGTGGGGAGTCGTCCGCAGGGGGTCCCTTCGGCGACCTCCGCTCCGAGAGAGGCCGTCGGCGACCGGGAGGAAGACTCTTGGGTCCAGCGTCCGGGACGCGTTTTTCCCGAGGGCTCCTCTCCCAGTCCTGGTCACCCGGCGACTCCCCTTCCTCTCAGAAGCCAGCGAAGGCTCCCGAAACTTGGGAGACAGACCCGAGAAGCGTTTTAAGTTTTGACTGGGTCTGGCTAGAGGTTTCCTCCGACCTGGCCCGGGAGGAAGTAAGGTTGCCGCTGTCACAGCCACGGGAGAGCGAAGCCACGCGACGCGTCCTTGGAAGGCAGGTCGCGGCTTGATGAGCCTCCCACCTGTCGGACGGATTTTGGACCCAGCCTGACCCATTCAGTGTCGCTCTTGAAAGACCGGACTAGGTCTCCCCGCCCCCGCCCCCCTTTATTTGTAATTAGGCAAGTCAGGGCCGGTTGGATCGATTCGACACATCAGAAACACTCATAGTTTCTATAAGGATCCCGGGGTGCAGGTGGAAGCAGACTATACACTTCCCTGAAACTGTCCCACGGTTTCGAGTTCTAGGCACAGGTAGGTGCCTTTGGGATTCCGAAATTGACAAAAGCACTCAGTTTGACAGATAGTTGATTTGGCTGGAAAGTTAAATTGTCAGCTGTGTTTAAATGCACCGTTAGAGCTTAAAACATTTTTTTCCTTTCCTACAAGGGGGAGTCTTTCGGAGGCCTGTTACGTAGATTTTGTATTATAATTCTGGTTTACATAGGGCTTTAACATTCTCGTTTATCGAGAATCCCCCTGACCCCCTTGAGATGGTGTTATTCATACTTAATAGGTTAATAGCCACTGGAAAAGATTTAGAGTTGGAGGTTTCAAACTGCCGCACCCCAGACGTAGGCAGGTAACTTGAGTTAGTGAAGTTAGGACCTGGAGAGGGAGTGTTGCCAGGCCTGGCCCTCTAAGCTCCATCCTATAGCTGTTGGAGCTTCTGTATTTACAGAATCCAGGTGTCCTGGCTTTTGCATGACATTCCTTGCTTTTAAATTAGTGGCACCTGATTATTATGTTTTAAAATTGAAACCCCTGTATAGGCCCATGTGTGAGCTGATGTGGCCTGTGGCAGCCAGCTTGCTCTCTGGATTCTCTGACAGACTCATCGGAGGAGTAGACAGGAGGTCTCTGCTCCTCCACGGGCCCATGGTTCCTAACTGCTCTTTGCCGCCTGCTGCCACCTTCCTTCCGCCCTGGTGGTGAGAACTGTGCTCCTCTTGAATGCCTGGCCTCTCAGCTGCTGCACTTCAACCTCTGCCGAGCAGTGTCATGCCCCCTTAGCGACGCAGAAACTTTGAAGCCAGCCCATGCTCCCAAGAGGACGCATAGTTATTTGGCCGGTTTTCGGTTGGATGAGATTTGCAGAGTCTGAGCATGCGGGAAGACAGACCGTGGTGGAAAGGAGTGCTCTTTCTTGAGGAAAAGTGTTTGTGGCACAGGCGCCTCTTCAGTCTTCTGTCAGTAGAATTATTGACTCAGAGCTGAGAGGAATGTAAAAAAAAATCTTGCATAGTTTTGTCAGTTTACACATTCGAAGATTTGCTAGGTGTAGCTTAGCTAGGGAGACACAGGTAGTAGGTTTCAGGGCCAAGTTCCTGGACGCTTTGGTGGGGTCCTCCTACTTTCTCCTGGCTTCCTCAGCAAAACTAAGCAGAGAGACATGATTTATAATTACAACAAACTTCACATTTTTTTCTGGAATAAATAATTTCAGTTTGTAGGTTGTTTTTTTTTAAGCAGCTTAATTTCATTTTCTTCCTACTTTTGTTGTGTTTGATTATCTTATTCCCCTTTAACTCATATAAGATGGGGAGAACAAGTTAGGTGGGGATAACTTTAAGATGTCAACTTTTGAACATCATATCTTAAGTTTTGGGCTTTCTAGCCTACTTCTATCTTTCTGAATCAGCAGTATCCAGGTAATGGGCTGTTTGTTTTCTCATGGGCTAGAGAAACATGTATCACATAAATATTAGTTTGAAGTATAAGATATTCATGTCAATTTCTATGTGAGGATATATGCAACTTAATAGTTGAGTTTAGTTTAAATAAATAGTATAATGCCCATTTTTAATGTGTGTTTTTGTTGTTGTTTTGTTTTGTTTTTTTTGTCATTGGAACCAAGGTGCATCCACCCAGATAGTTGGATTTGCTATTACATAGGAATTGACTAAAATATTTGCACCTAGAAATATTAACATCATAAGACTGCAAAAGTTTTGAGATATTCCACCAAGTCATTTTTAATGCCTTCAGTGGACAGTAGTTATGTATACAAATCATAGCCCAACTTCTGCAGCTGAATTATACATTCGAGATGTGACTCTCTGAAGGTTGTGGTGACGCATAAGAGGATGGGATGGCTCATGTCCTGGCAGCACAGTAGGTTACTCTGATTCCTTTCCCCTAAGTTCATCCCACCTCACAAGAGAGAGAAGTGTAGGAGACATATAAACCACATGAATACGCTACTTTCTAAATCTCAATAGCAATTTTTCTTTCCCTCCCTCCCTCCCTTCCTTCCTCCTTTCTTCTTTTCTTCCATCCATCCATCCATCAGCTCATTTGAGAGCTGTGGTTGTCCAGGTGTCTCCTGGACAAGCCCCAAGGATGACTCGCAACTTAGGATCCCATTTGAAGAAGTCTTATGACACACTAGATCGGCTGATGTTCTTGAAGCTCTCTTGCTGCTCTTGTCAGCTGGTCTCCTGTGCCCTCTCCCCTGCTCACCCCTCCCCCATCATTTGACTCTTGCTGTGTCTGGTCCTGGGATATTGTTGGTGGCCAGGGCAGAAATGCTTAGGGAATTGAGAAGAGAGACTGTTCCATGACTTTCTTCTGTCTGAGGGTGGGACAGGGTTTTAATCAGAGATCCATGGGCTGTGTGTAGAGACATACCGTCTGTGAACTCTCTGATGTTGAAGGTAAATTTGTGTGTATATCTGGGTTGAGGTTCCTGATGAAAGTTATGAATTCTCAAAGGGACTGTGAACAGAAAAATGTATACTTCTGTTCTTGGATGTTGCTGTGCATGCTATCGTGGATGTGTTTTTTGCCCCACCCCACCCCTAGAAGCTGCCCGGGTGTGGGGTAGGGGTGAGATTCAGTCCCCTCGTCCCTTCCCTACTGTGATGAAGAGCCTGCTTCAGGGTACAGAGCTTGGATCTGTAAGAATCATACCTCATTATTGAGGGTGGCTGCATTGTCCCAGATACCTCTGAAAGTCACATGGAATGGCATGAACCAGTCATGGAAAGTCTACTTGCAGAAGGGGGATGGAATTTTGGCCTGGGTGCTGGTACTTTCCTGTATTTGATGTATTGTCCACCATTTGCAACCACGAAGCCAGTGTAGAAATGCTGGGTTGAGTGGTCTTAGCTTTTCCTGTGTCTCTGTGGGAAGATATGTTGGTGTCACATTGGTTGACACTCTCACCAACACTGCCTGGACCTTTAACACTGCCTGGAATTTAATCAGTTCAGGCCAAGGTAAGCGTGAACTGCAGGGTTCAAGATAGCCGAATAAAGCCATACTTAGTTCTTAGACAACTAAGGGGACACTTTTTCAAAGGCTCATAATGGTGAGTGATTAAAATTCTGTCTTGTTAATATATATGTTTTGCATATATACTAGAATTGATTTTTTTTCATATTACATGTTTACTTGAATTGGAAATTGAAAAATTGGTCACAGAAATATCTTCGGTTTCATTCACTAAGTTTTGTTTTTAACTCATGGCTTTTGCTCTTGGAAATAGTATAATTTTGTCTCTATATAGTGAACTTTTTTTTTTTTGAGTCAGGGTCTCACTCTGTCACCCAGGTTGTAGTGGTATGATCATGGCTCACCACAGCCTCTGGCGATACTTCTGCCTCAGCCTCCTGAGTCGTGAGTAGCTGGGATTACAGGCACGTGCCATCACACCCAACTGATTTTTTGATTTTTTTGTAAAGACGAGGTCTCACTGTGTTGCCTAGACTGGTCTCGAACTCCTAGGCTCAAGTGATCCTCCTGCCTCAGCCTCCCAAAGTGCTGGGATTACAGGCATGAGCCAGCGTGCCTGGCCCCATAGTGAGCATTTTTAAAACAAGTTTTCAAAAATTGGTTGTTATGTGGGTGTTTGAACATAGCAAGAGGCATTGGTTATAATTTAGTAAGGATCATGTGTAGCTTACTTAATTTGGTTATATCACCTTACTATTAAGAATAAAATACAGCTCTAGCTTAAGAGAAAATAGGTAAAAACTGTTTAAGGGGAACTTGAAAATACACACATTATGGGAGCTAAACAATGGATACACATGGATGTAAACAGAAATAAATAGACATTGTGGACTCCAAAAGGGGTGAGGATGGAAGGAAGGTGAGGATTGAAGATTACATCAGGTACTGTATTCACTATTTGGATAATGTGTACACTAGAAGCTTAGTCTCTACCAGTATACAATGTATATCCATGTAACAAACATGCACTTGTACCCCAGAATCAAATATTAAAAAAAAAAGAAAATACTTTAAAATAATGCATAGTGCAGAACTAAGAATTTTCTAACTAGGAATTGTTAGCATTTTGGTTTTAAAATTTATTTTATTTTTTTAATTTACATATAATAATTATACATACTTATGGGATCCATTCATGTCATATTTAGTGATCAGATCTGGGTAACTAGCATATTTAGCATGTTTAGCATGTTTATCATTTCTTTGTTTTGGGAACATCCAATGTCCTTCTAGCTATTTGACACTATATAATACATTATTAACTATAGCCATCCTCCAGTGGTAGAAACCACTAGAAGTTGTTCCTTCTATCTAACTGTAATTGTATATCCCTTAACAAATCTTAAGTGTATAATTGAGTGTGACTGGTGTGCCAGGAAATCAAGTTATTTAAGACATGTAATCCCAGCACTTTGGGAAACTGAGGTAGGAGGATCATTGAGATCAGGAGACCCTGTCTCTACAAAAAAAAAATTTAAAAATAAGCCAAGTGTGGTGGTGCAGCCTGTAGTCCAATCTACTTGGGAGGCTGAGGGGAGAGGATCCCCTTAGCCCATGAGATCAAGGCTCTAGTGAGGCATGATTGCACCACTGCACTCCAGCCTGGGTGACAGAGTGAGACCCTGTCTCTTTAAAAAAAAAAAAAAAAAAAAAGGCCTTCTTTTCTTACTTTTAGTTACTACTTTTCTAGCTATCTAGAAGAAAACTTTTGTGCTGTGATGATCATTGAGTCTTTAGGTTTCAGGGGCCTCTTTCGTGTCATAGAAGACACCTCTCCACCCCACCTTCATACACAAAAGTTGCCAAATCCCTTTTTCTCTCATTGTTTTACTATCTTCCTATCCCATAACAAATATTCAAACCAAACCTTTACCTATTTCAGATTCCTAGCTTTAAATATAATTCATTTTGTTGTTATGTTCAGCTATAATATTTTTATACATAAAAAATTAAAGCAAAAGTTTGAGCGAAGTGTTTTTAAAATAAAATTACTTTTATTTTTCTTGACCTCGTTTTTCTTCCTTCTTTTTAGTTGATTATCCTTATATTAGGATAGATTAGATGGGTGACTTTCATTCTGACTGTTAAATATCTTCCTTTCCTACTGTAGTGATTGAGATTTATTGCTCACACCTAAAACTCATTCTTCAAGGAGATACACCTTTGGAATCATTTTAAGGGAGGCCATGTCACCTTCTGTATTTCCTTGGTGGCAATGGAACACTTTCCCTTGTACACTCGTGCACAAGGTTGGAGTGAAATCCAGTTGTGGGTTAAATTAATTTGGATATACTCTGGGTCTCTTTCTTTCCTATTTCCGCTTTGCCTCTTTGTGTATCTGAATCTCTGCTTTTTATTTCCAGTAATCACCTTGGCTTCTGTCTTTGCATTTGGATCTCTTGTTCTGCTGTTTGTTTCTTTTCGTTTCCTTCCTGTTGGCGTGTGTAGGAATTTGTATTTGTGTTTGTATGGAGAGATGCATGTTTAGAAAACCTTCTCTGGGCACTGATGTTGGGATTGCGTTTTGGTTATTTTGTAGACTAGAAAGGAAGGGGACAAAAGTGGAGCCAAGTGTGCATGCAGGAGAGCCACAGAATTTTCATGACAAATTTATTCATAGACTGTTAGAACCAAGAACTGGAAGCAGAACCATGTAGCTCATATGGCCTCTTCCAGTCTTCTCATTTTGAAGGTGAGAAAACCGAGGCCGAGGGTGGGGAAGTGGCTTGCCCAAAGACATGCCTCTGGTCTTGATATTATGACTGCGATTTGCTGAATTGACTGTTGTACAGGATTAGAATTTCCTATTTCATAAAGCTAGAAGGAGGGTGAGAAATGTGATTAGATTATTGAGAGAAGAATGAACACATTTGGTCACTTTTTATTTTAGGTCTTTGATGTATAGTCCCCGTGATCAGGTTTCTGTTTGCTTAACTCTGGCATGGGTTCTAAGGGTGACATCACACGTTTTACTTGAAATCTCACTGGAGTTAGACCACATGGAAAGTACCTTTTCCTAATATTTGTTTCCTCACTGTCACAACTTTCAAACACTCGTACATTCAGAGAGAGAAAAAGAATAAGAAATGTTCATTGGGCAAATTATTTATTAATACTCAACACCAATGGGTGTAGAATGAGAATTAGTCAAATAGCTAACTTTTTTGAGTGCTAATTATTTTATATGTGTCTGTTTCTCACAATGGTCTTTTGAGGTGAATACTCTCTCTTACTGCCCTTTTTGAGAGTGGTTACATTTACATGCTGAGAGGTGTAGTTACTGTAGTCATGGTTATATATACAGCTAATAAGGGATGGAGAGAGGAGTGGTTAAACCCTGGCAATCTAACTCTTTGGCCCCCACTTCAGCCATTGCCCTCTGCAGAGGGCTCACCCAATGACACACAGGGCGGTGTGCTAGGCAGGAGGCAGGTCTGGAACTGTGAACTGTTGAGGGAACACTTGGAACAGCTCACAGGTATACAGGCACAGAGTAATGTTGGTCTAGCGTTTGGACTGAAGTGTGAGTGGTGCGGAGGCAGTCATAGAGTATAGGTGGTGGGTGATACCCACATTCTGACATTAGCTCCCCCAAGCCTTTGGACACCATTGAAAGGTTTCAGTGGGAGACAGATCTGCCACCTCGGCCTGCCTCTCCGAGCAGCCCTTCGTCCGTCGCTCTCACCCTCCGACCCTTCCTCTTTTCCTGGCTGTACTACACTGTGCACTAGGAACTGGGGTAATAAGGGCATCGAGGGTGGAAGTATTCCCTTCATTCACTTAATTTCTTACTTTTTCTTTTAGTCTGGCACCTTCTCCTTTCTGTGTTCTGTTTTGTCTGAGGCCTTATGTGAGGATGGCGGTGTGCAGTCATGGGGAGGGATGGAGAATGGGAGTCTGATTGTTTCTTACAGCAGCTACTCTCCTTGTTTCCCACTCAGCATGTTACCCACACCCTCTGAAGGACCCAATGCCTCCAATTCCTGAGCCTTTCTGGGGTTCTGCCAGGTTTACTGGTTTGTCTTGTACAGATGCCCCTCCACCAGCTTTGGGCTTCATTTTTGTTTGAGCTTTCACATGGCTTTTGGTTTCATCAAAGACAGAATTGGTGTTTCTCTTTCCCTTGATTGTCATTTTGGGGTGAATTTTGAGGGGCTAAGGGGACATCTTCAGACAAGAAGTCCTGCTCTTCATCTTTGTCAAATACCTAGTGGGATTTTCTTCCTTTTTGTTACTTAGTAGGCTCTTGTTAGTTGACTAAAGATACGAGAGCCTCTTTAGGATGCTATTTTACAAGTAGGCCGTCAGCAGTAGTAGAGGGGCTTTGGGATAGACACGCAGAACATGAGTGGCCGGTTGAATGTGGGGATCAGGGAGCAGGAGGAGCCCTAAGGAAGTTTTCTTAGCTTTGAGGATTTGTAATAATTGATGGTCTCCTGTTCTTGTTTTTAGAGTAGCCGTTGTCAGATTTGCTTGTGATGTGTTATATAGGTCGGCAGTTGGCTTGTATTCCTATATAAATACTTTTATTAGCACCGTCTCCATTCTTGGAACTTGACAATCGTTTTAGGAGCTTCACTGATGAGATGCATGCTAAGATGTGGAGATATGTAGTTGAAGTATTAATAGACATTACAGTTAAAATGGTCTCAGCCACGTAGCAAATGAGGTGACGTAAATTATCTCATTTAAAGTAAGAAATTCTAGCCGGGCTCAGTGGCTCAGCCTGTAATCCCGCGCCTTTGGGAGGCTGAGGTGAGTGGATTGCCTGAGCCCGCGGGTTCGAGACCCGCCTGGGCAGCGAGACCTCATCTCTACGATAAATCAAAAAATCAGCCGGGCGTGGTAGTGCATGCCTGTAATTCCGGCTACTCGGAAGGCTGAGGCGGAAGGATCACTGGCACCCAGCAGGTCGAGGCTGCGGTGGCTGGGAGCGGCCACTGCACTCCAGTCTGGGCGACAGAGTGAGACTCCAACTCAAAAAAAAAAAAAAAAAAGTAAGAAATTCTGAAGTGGAAGAAAGTGGTGAGATAGAGACATAAACATCTAAGATATGAGACCCATGTTTTATCAGTTTGTCACCATGTAATGTGAAACAAGTTAAACATTTAGTGTCTTAAACATTTTGTAAGCATCTATATATTGTGGTACGATGGAACATGTCAGCGTGACAAGTATTTGAAAATGTCTACTTTGGTGTGATTTCAGTGAGGAGGACATGTACCGTGCTGCAGATGAAATAGAAAAGGAGAAAGAATTGCTTATACATGAAAGAGGGGCATCAGGTATGTCTGGAATTGTTTTATTTGTGGAGTTCTTACTGTTTATAGTAGAAAATGCTGTTAAATTGACATATTTTTATAAAATATCGACATGTACTTTCTAGGAAGTGTTTTATGCATATCTACATTGATTATTCATTTTGCTAAAGTATGTTTAAGGAAAACTTTCGTGAGGTTTTAAAATTTTAATGTAAGAATTCTGTCTGCATTCTTTACAGTCATATCATTTTTTGTACTTGTGAGGATAGTTTTATTTAATCTCTTGACACCACCCTCTCTTGGCTCTTGTTTTCCTTATATTATTGGAGGGAGAGTTCAGATTTGAAGTGCATTTTTCATTTTAAATCAAAGGGCTTATTGAAAAATTGTCTGTGTACATCTTTGCATGCAGATGGCCATGTGAATCTGGTTGAGTAATAAGAAAGATGATCATGGGATCAGTAGCACTAACTCTCATGGTTTAGTGATTTCATGCCCGCATTTCTCCTCTCTCTTGCCTGCTCTTCTTACGCCCACCAGGACCCATCCCTGTTAGGATGCAGTGTTATTCCTGGCTCCCTCCACTGGTTCGTGGAGATTCGCCACCAAGGCTGTGTGGGATGAAGTACATTCTCACTTCCCTGGCTGGCCTCATGCAGGAGCCAAGAGGGGCTACTCTGATTGTGAGGTACTCTGTAGCTCATTCACTGGTGGCATTTTCTCTCTCATTACCTGGATAATGGACTAGGGGCATTTAAAAAAGTTCATGGAAAAATGGAATTGAAAGTTAAAACTAAAGAATATCAACTTTATTTCTCAACATAAGCTCCATCAAGTTCAAGACACTTTTGTAAGCAATAATGCCAGCCATTTAGTCCACCCCTAAAGAACTGGGGGCCCTTGGAATTTAAATATTTCAATGTAGTCTTTTTTACATTATTAGTTAAAGAAAACTGGATGCGCTTTAGGAAACAAAAATAAGTCAGAAGGAGCTAAGTCAGGACTGTAAGGTGAATGTCTAACGATTTCCCATGGAACTCTTGCCCTAGTTTGATGAGAGAAATGAGCAGGGGCATTGTCCTGGTGGAGAAAGACTCTGGATGAACTTTTCAAGACATTTTTCTGCTAAAAGTTTTTGCTAACTTTCTCAAAAACATTCTCATAATAAACAAATGTTATTGTTCTTTGGTTGTCCAGAAAGGCAACAAGCAAAATGCCTTGAACATCCCCCAAAACTGTTCATAACCTTTGTTCATGACGTATTTTGCTTAGACTTGACTTATTTCCATCTCTTGGTAACCATTGCTTTGGTTGTGCTTCAGGAACATACTGGTAAAGCCATGTTTCATTTCCTGTTACAGTTCTTTGAAGAAGTGCTACAGAATCTTGATCCTACTTGTTTGAAATTTCTTTGAAAGCTCTGCTCTTGTCTGCACCTGATCTGGGCACAATGGTTTAGTACCCATTGAGTAAAAAGATTGCTTAACTTTAATTTTTCAGTCAGAATTGTGCAAGCTGAACCAATGGAAGATATCTGTGGTGGTGACTATTGTTTCCACTGTTAATCATCAATCCTCTTCAGTTAGGGCACCAAGTTAATTTTTTCCTCCCAAATTGATGTGGATGGTCTGCTGCTACAGGCTTTATCTTCAACATTGTTTAGTCTCTTCTTAAAACAAGTTATTCATTTGTAAACTGCTGTTTTCTTTGGGATATTGTCCCCACAAGCCTTTCATAAATAGTGATTTCACCATCTTTCACCTAAGCTTTACCATCAATTTGATGATTGTTCTTGCTTCGATTTTAGCAAAATTTAGGTTGCTCTGCCAGGGGCTCTTTTCAAATTGATGTCTTATCCTTCTTAATACCTCAAACTAGATCCTGTTCAGACAAGTAGCATGAGCTTATTTGGGTGCACAAAATTTTTGCAATCTGTACATAGCTCTGTCATAACACTGATTTTCCATGAACTTTTTGAAGAACCCTTGTATATGTTCTACTGACTTGTTTTGAGAACTGACTTCCATTTATGTTTAACAAAAGTATTGTCATATGTGTGATTAGGCACAAGTGATATACAGTAGGATTGTTATAATAATTTCTGAATCTTCCTCTCAAGGAACTGTTGGACTCTTCACTGTGGTAGCCATGTTCTATGTCTTTTGTAGTGGGACTGGTGTGTTCCTGAGCCACACTGTTCTAGTTCTCTGTAAAACTTCAGCAAATGCTTGGTCTTTGCTGTTGTAGTTGCTCAAAATTTCTGTAGAATGTGGAGTCCTTAGTCATATTCCTAAGGAGAAAGTGTATATTTAGCTGGTGTTTGTCATCACTTAGGGACCTCTTGTTTTCTCTTCCATTCTACAGCCTTAGCGTTGGGATTTTCTTCTGTCCGGCATTGTACCCCACACAGTTGTTCTCACTTTATAGTGGGTCTTGTAACTTCTAGCTTTAGTTTGAGAGTAAGACAAATCCCTTTACACTCTTACTTACGTCTCAGTTCTTCTGGGTTCACTGTCCTTCCAGAAATAACATCCTTTCCCCTTCCCCCAGAAGCAGAGCCTAGGCTGAGGCAAAATGTTTTCTTATCCTCTCTCTTTGTTAGTGAAAAGATTCTTTTCCACCTAGTCTGGGGATCAGCAAACTGTGGCTCCCAGGTTGAATCTGACCTGCCACCTGGTTTTGTAAATAAGGTTTTTTTGAACTTATTAGTTTATATATTGGTGACTTTCACACATAATAAAGTTGACTAGTTATGATAGAAACCTTGTGACCCTCAAAGCCTAACTTATGACATTTCCTATCTAGTCTATCCTCTGTTTGAGAATCCCAGCTTTTTGGAAGGGTTTCAGTTTTAACTTCCCACCTTCTGAGAGATTGATTCTTGACTTTGTTACCCATTTGGTGGTTAAAGATTGAGCCTCTTGGTTATTTTAGCTTCTGGCTTACTACTCTGGTTTTCAACTTCCCTTATTTTTTTTTTTGTGCTTTATTTTTTTGCCATTAGAAATGTTCTATCCTGAAAACAGCAATCAGAGTCTGTAATTTGCAGTTAAAGAAAAGTATTGTTGCCTGCCACAGTGGCTCACACCTGTAATCCCAGCACTTTGGGAGGTGGAGGCGAGAGGATTGCCTGAGTTCAGGGTTTGAGACCAGACTGAGCAACATGGCAAGACCTTGTCTCTACAGTAAATTAAAAAATCAACCGGGCATGGTGACACATGCCTGTGATTCCAGCTACTTGGAAGTCTGAAGTGGAAGGATCACCTGAGCCCCCAGGTCGAGGCTGCAATGACTGTGAGTTTGCCACTGCATTCCAGCTTGGGCGACAAAGTGAGACTCCAACTCAAAAAAAGAAAGAAAGAAAAGTACTATTGTACTCTGTAAGTTGCTTGAGGGCAGGTGCTGTCTTGTCCTGCATCTCCAATTCCTGCTCAGTGCATAGTGTGTGGTAGCCCCTGGACTCCTCCTCTGAAAGAACCACAGCAGAAAGGAAATTTAAGTATCATTGTGATGCTGCCAGCTGTGCAGGTATCTGTTTTCCCAATCCTCACCGCCCTGTGCAGGCCTTCGATTCAGCATTGGACTGTGGCCTGTGGCCTGTGGTCTGTGGCCTAGCCTCTTGGATTATGTGAGACCCCGTGCCTCTTCCCTGCAGTCCTAAGGTGCTGGGCCTGCCCTGCCCTGACTGCCCTGCCTGGGAGGCCAGGTCTTATCTTGGCATGCTCAGGAATAAGGACTGAAGTGAGGAGAGCAGGAGGGTAGACTGTCTTTCTGGAAAGGCCCTTCCTGAGCTGAAAGCGTGCTTTCTGTTCAGATTTCTAACCCTGCCTGGTCATGGGTACTGTGGACCAGAAAGTGTCCTGATTTTGTGCGTTTGCAGTTCTTCCCTTTTGTGGAGGTGAATGGAAAGGCAGATATGTGGAAACACTTCCTTCTACTTAGTGGATGCTCAGAAATATTTCTCGAATTTAAAAAGTGAAGGATCTTTATTTAAGGACTGATTGTGCAGCATTGGTATTTGTGGTTTCTATATTATATCAGGGATCTGTTTCACTTTTAAGCGAGTCCTGCTGTATGCCACAGATAAATGTATCTATGTTCTTTGCATGTGTGTTGTTTTCCATTTTATGTAAAGCTTTTCTTTATAAAAAGATTCACAATGGGATTTTAAGAAATAAGCAAGCCGGGCTCGGTGGCTCAGCCTGTAATCCCGCGCCTTTGGGAGGCTGAGATGAGTGGATTGCCTGAGCCCGTGGGTTCGAGACCCACCTGGGCAGCGAGACCTCATCTCTACAATAAATCAAAAAATCAGCTGTGCGTGGTAGCGCATGCCTGTAATTCCGGCTACTTGGAAGGCTGAGGCGGAAGGATTGCCGGAGCCCCCAGGTCGAGGCTGCGGTGGCTGGGAGCGGCCGCTGCACTCCAGTCTGGGCGACAGAGTGAGACTCCAACTCAAAAAAAGAAAGAAAGAAATAAGCAGTTCTTAGAGTTTATTTTTTTAAAATGTGATTTCCCTCAACTACAAGGGGGGTTTAGGGCCTCTTTCTTTGTGCTCTTTAGTCATCCTGACACCCTTATATACTGGCTTGCTGTGGTTTTTTTCCAAGCAATCTGTGAGCCCCTTCAGGTCAGAATCTGTGTCTTTATCATCTTCATATCCCCGGTTCCTAACTTAATACTTGGCACATTTTAGATACTCGGTAAACATTTGTTGAATTTTGTTGAAGAAAACATGTTTATCTCATGTACAGCTTCCTCAGGAGTAAATATGCCATAAAGTACTTCTGTATTTATATCCTAAAATCATTGCTAACCTCTACTTCTTCAGTTATTTAAAAAGGAAGTCAAGATGTTCCTGAGAATTTATTCATTTTCTTCCTAAAACTTACACGCTAACATACGCATGCATGTGCATATGCCACAAATCAGACTCCAAACTTGGTATGTTAAACAAGGAAAATCTAAAGGCCATTTTTTGTGATAACATTTGTCTGATCACAAGTTGTATTTTTAATACTTGGGGTATGTTATAAGAGTCAAATGAGATCTGTTAATCAACAAACATTGAAAGTTTCTGGTTTATTATCAACTACTTGTAGCCTTTTGGGATCAGGGCAGGAAATAAATAGACAGATGTAATTTTTCTCTTAGTAGATGTTATCACTTTGTAGAATGGATGTTAAAAACGAATTACAAGTTGTTAGAAGATATTTTCTGATGGTTCAGACTGGTGTGTCTTTGATTTGGCTAGAAAAGTGTTCATGGACACCTGTGTGTCAGTGCAGTTTCAGGTGACACAACACAGCCGAGAAACAAAGCCCCTGCCCTCAAGGAGCTCATGTTTTGCTGTGTTGGTATATGGGTGTATTGTGGGGGGGTACATAAAAAGAAATATGCCAGGTGTTGATGAGTGCTGAGAAGTAAAGCAAAACAGTATAAGAAAAATAGAGAGCAAAAATGCATGTGTGATATGACACAGGAGCACCAGGTGACATTGGAGCAGAGGCCTGCATGGAGTGAGGGAGCAGCCCTGTGGGTATGGAGGGTGTTGGAGGGTATCAGGGAGGCTGCAGCTAGGGTTGAAGCTGAGGCAGTGTAGGGAGTGGTGAGAGCAGAGGCGGGAGGGCACTGGGTGCCTTGTGGGTAGGAAGGCATGAGACAGGAGCCCTGGAGCTCTCTGAGCCCAGGAGTGATGGATATCATCTGACTCGTGTTTAAGATAGATCACCCTGGCTAGCTATCTTGTGGAAAAGGTCTGGAGGGTGTGGTGACAGCGAAGAACCATTGGGAGGTCCCTGTGGCCATTTAGGGGTGAGGTGATCGTGGTGTGGACCAGGGGGCTAGGCACTTGTGGAATTCTGGATTTTTTGAAATGCAGTGAGAGAGAAATTGAGTAGTGGAGGGTGACCCCCAAGAATGCAGTACCTTACTTTGATTATGCTTTTGCTTATTATTTGCTTTTTTTCCTTGTTCTTTGACAGAACTCAGATTAAGTGTGGCTCCTGAAATGGATATTATGGACTACTGCAAAAAGGAATGGAGGGGAAATACACAAAAAGCAACATGTATGAAAAAGGTATGACACAGAGGTGCACATATTTCAGGTCTTTCAAATAGTCTGTCGTAAGTTCTATTTAATGCTATTTGATATTTTTAGACATTAGTTAAGATGACTGCTGTTAGACTTTGTAAATATTATTATTCTAATTTTAGAGATGAGGAAACAGACACCAAAGAAAAGGGACTTGTTGAGAGTCACAGTATTAATATAGAATCAGCATCAGTTGTTCAGTAACTTACTTTCTTGAAAACTTCATAAATGATTGTGCTATTCAGTGTTGAGTCAGCCACTGGTTGTCCTCTTTGGGTCATTTGGAATGCCTTTCTTGGCCTGGTGTTGTATAAATATCAGGGATGCCTCACGCTGACTCCACATTCCTACCCTCTACACACATTGGGTTTGGTTGCACACCAGTTGTTCTAGGGGCTCAGAACTCCCCTGCACTCCCTACACAGAGGGATCTGGAACCACTCAGAACTCCCCTGCACTCCCTACACAGAGGGATCTGGAACCACTCCCTTCTCTTAGGGTGTCCCAGAACTGCAACTCCCCCCCCCCACCGGCCAGTTCCGTTGCATCAATGGCGGCCCCGAAGATACTCTCCAAGGCCGTGGGATGACATCAGGGACTCCCATAATGTGGTCCGGCTGTGTCTGTTTTGTCTGGTTCATTGCTCAGCTCAGGCACCATGGCCCATGTACATTCTGTGCATCTGATCCAGCAACAGACCCTGTGGGCGCTGCCTGTAGACATATCCCAAATCCTGTGCTCTTTAGTAGGCTGAACCATGGGAAATTGCTACTATTTGACCGTTTTTGAGCTACAAAATGGCAGTTTTAACCTAAAATTTTCACTACTTCTTTTAACCTCTGGGTTATATTTTTTGTTCATTTTTCTTTTGGGATTATTTACCCAATGGATTTGAATGTATTTCTTTTGTATTAAAGATACTCACCTGTCATAGTTGGTAGAAGTATCTTAATTTTTTTGTTAGGACTTTAACATTTTAAATATTTAAATACATTTATTCTTTTCTTCAGAGCTTCTTTTTGTAGAAAATATTGCTTATCTGTCAGCATGTACCTCAACTGTCCTGGCTGCCCTTAGTCAAAATGTAACTGCCAATTGTAAAGCTCTGAGAGCAGTTGTCAGCTCTGTTCCTTACAAGTCTGGTATATTGACGCTCTGTGTTTTAGGAACTTGTTAGAGGACTCAATCATGAAATACCTGGACTCTTAGTTCCTGCCAGAGATTAAGAGCATTTTTATTTGTGAGGCCATCTGCTGAATGTGCTATTGGCCACTTGTAGATTTTCCAGCCTCCAGTCCTGAATCATTAGATAAACAGAAAGCCAGGTGGCTACACTTTCTTTTCTCATCTTTTCCAGAAATGCTTTTAATTAACTGATTTTTAATTTTATTTTATGACCTGAGTCTCTTCAAAGGACCTAACAGTTGACATCTTAAAGTCCATAAGTGAAGATGTCTAAGATAGATACCTGAATATTCCATATTTTAGAACTCATGCAAAAATCATCCCTCTATGGGTTTAGTTCTAGGGAAAGAAAACATTGAACTTGCAGTTGGACTCTTTCAGTGACCATATAATCAAGAGCATATCAGTTGAAAGTGTCTCATCAAGACCGATGGCAGTAATTAAAAGCATCTCAGGTGCCTGATAACAGCTTTCATCTCAGTTCTGTTTTAGTCCTTATTTGCATAATTATCTACTTTTGTTTGGGATATTCTTTTGAAAGTAATTTTACATAAATTTAAATTTGGTTTTAAAAAGTTTGATTCATCTCTGAAATAGCATGAGTAATTTATTCATTTGGAAAGGTGCGGTTGCAGTTGAATTTGCTGCCCTAAGTATTATGGGGTAACTGGGGCTTCACCATAGTAAGAGGGATATATTAGGTGTGATTCTGCCTGATGGGCTCTTATATGCTACAGTGGTTGGGCCACTAACTAAAAATATGACTCTCAAAATTTTACTATTGGGAAAAAGTACTTTTATATTCGCTTAAAAAAATCATCCTATGACTTGAAGCTTGAAAACAACTAATAATGAGGTTCCAGTACTTGGACACACAGGATGAGGTGGTCTTCATTGTACCCACTCCAAGAAGAGGGTGACACTTTTGTGTGTGTATATAAGTGCAGGGTAGGAAGTAGGTTTTGAGCAACGATTAGGGAAGAGCAGGACTAGTGAAAAAGGCTGCCTGGACTCAGAGCCAGGGTGGAGGTGGTTGGTGAAGCTGGTCCTCCTGACTGCATTGTCTAGCTGGAGAAGTCATGACATCATGGTATTGGTTGACCAGAGTCACAAGGATTTTATGGTGTCCTTTTGGGGTATGCTTCAAAGTGGTCCATTTGGAGCTATTTTTGAGTGGCTAAGCATGTCACTGAACAATTTCATTTCCTTATTTAACTTCCAGACTGAGAAGAGTAACACTTCAATCTACTTGTAAAAAAAAAAAAAAGTCTAACAATTATTGAAACGTCTCCTAGTATGTAGACTTTTATACACATACACACACTCCCCTTGGAAACTTGGGGGGTTTGTATATTTTTCTAATATGGAGATATAAACTTGTATGTCTCTCTTTTTTCTTGTCTCTTCATTAAAGAATTTAGGATCACGAGTGTTAAAACAGTTGCTTAGAAAGGGACATACAACTCCAACTTTGGGAGTGGCTAGTGCTTATTTATTGGTTCTTTCTTTTTTTCTTTTTTTTTTTTAGTTGGAGTCTTACTCTGTCGCCCAGGCTAGAGTGGTGCAATGGCATGCTCATAGCCACCCCAGCGTTGACCTGCTGGGCTCCAGCTATCCTTCCACCTCGGCCTTCTAAGTAGCCGGAACTAGAGGCCCATGCTACCATGCTCAGCTAATTTTTTATTTATTGTAGAGACAAGGTCTTGCCACATTGCCCAGGCTGGTCTTGAACCCGCTGACTCAGGCAATCCACTTGCCTCAGCCTCCCAAAGTGCTGGGATTGCAGCCTGAGCCACCGATCCCAGCCGGTTATTTCTTTCTATGTCTAGTGTGTTGCATCTGCTATATATATATTGATATTTTGTGCAATATTACACTTGTTGATTTAATATGATTAGTGAAAAGGAATTTGCATGTCTTATATGAAGGACTCAGCCAGTCTTGTTTTCATTTTTTCAGTAATCCCAGGCAAATTTTTTCCACAGGAATGAAACTTTTCCTGCTCTCTGAAGTCAGTAATGGGCATTTTGAATTTTGCGATACTTTTTCTCAGGGCTATGAAGAGGTTTCTCAGAAATTTACCTCCATACGGCGAGTCCGCGGTGATAATTACTGTGCACTGAGAGCCACGCTGTTCCAGGCAATGAGCCAGGCTGCCGAGCTGCCCCCATGGCTGCAGGACCCGGAGCTCACGCTGGTACGCTGCTGCTGCAGGTTTGAGTCTGCAATGTTTCCAATAGTGCTTGTGAGAAAACTTCCCTTTTCTGCCCATGCTTCCTGCTAGTATTGTATGCGGTATGATGTCAGTATACACGTTTATTCAGTTTGGTGTGGCTGGGAGGATTTCACAGAGTAAAGTGACCAAAAATAATTGGCATTTCCCAGCAGAGAAAAATGATAAAAATGTATGTGAACAATTCACTTGAGTTAGCAGATATTCAGAGTTTGTAAAAAGCACTTAGGAACAGTTTGATTTCAGTTTTGCTGCTTACATTAAATAGGCTGTGTATTTTACTACTTGAGAACCTGCCAGACTTTTAGAATACTCATTTCTTTAGTTTTAGCTGCAATTCAAGAAGTTAGTACCTTCTGCAAAGTGTGAGGATTGGCTTGGATGGTCGAACAGCAACGCTAGAAGAGGGATGATTACCATCACTTGGAGAGAGGCTTCCCAGAGAGGCACTAGGCGGGCTGTGTCCCAGGTCTGACCCTCTTTAGTGTTTTTAATCTGCCTTGTGGTAGAGATGCATTGGGAAATCATGTGCTGAATATCCTGACACAGATAAAATCTCGTGATAGACTGGATAACAGACTCTCCTGAAAAATTTTGGGTAGAATAGTTGGTCATAAATGACACTATGACATCATCTAGAAGAAAACTGAAATTCTTGTGCTTAAATTTAAAAAACCAAAAATTCATTAGTGCCTGCTGTGGGAGATTGCCCTAACGGCAATTTACAAAAGGAAAGAAAAGATGTCAGGATTTTTTTTTTTGAGTTGGAGTCTCACTCTGTCACCCAGACTGGAGTGCAGTGGCCGCTCCCGGCCACTGCAGCCTCGACCTGCTGGGCTCCAGCGATCCTTCCATCTCAGCCTTCCAAGTAGCTGGAACTACAGGTGCGTGCT